GTATGGGATACTTGATCATTATAAGGCTAAACGTGAAGTTTTGTTTAAAGTAAATTGTTTTTGTTAATAGTATCCAAGCTGATTACAGTTAAAGTCTTATGAAAATGTTGTGGGCCTCTCAGGAATTTAAGGGGGGAATTTATAAGATCCAGTTATCTCATGCCTAAATTTATTTTGGGCAGAAAAAGGAAAGAAAATAAAGAATAAATATTAGGAATTCAATGTTTTAAAGCAACTTTTTATTGATTAGGTTTGAGTAATGACCTGCATCTTCTATGGGTCAAAGGGAGTAGATGCTATGCCAGAACTACTGTAGCTATACTTCATTCCCCTTGTGATATAAAGGCCGAAATAAAATGTCACTGAAACCATAACCACATATTTAGCTTTTTGTACTTTTACCTTGTCAGGAACTCTCCACACTCTCAAATATCAGTTAAAAACTTAAAATTCATTTAGATTTTATTTCTCATCAGACTTACACAAGAATGTATTTTTCTGAGCTGATTTTCTCTTTTTAAATATGTAAAAAAAATAAAAATAAAAAAGAACACTAACAGTCTTTAAATGAAAAGACTATACTTTCAATCATTATATGAATATCAAATTTTTACCTAAAACTTAAAGGCTTAGCAGGTTTTCAGTTTCAACTCTTAGCACTCTGTTAGGTTGGTACGGAGGCAAATTGGCTCATTTAATAAAAAGCTTCACACATTACCTTCAAACAAAATTGGCAAAACATCAACAAATAACACATTAAACCTTTTTTTATTGCTATCATTCACATTCATACACCAATAAACATGCATAGTGGTATTATCTATGTACATTAGATTAAGCAACCAGATGTTGCTACAGTGTATTAATGCATTTAACAAGAAAATATCCCAGAAAATATAGTTGTCTACTCAGCTGGAGACTATGAACGACATTTCTCCAACATACAGAAATGAAAGATGTCTTTACTCATTTTCCTTTTAATACATACTGCCAATGTCCTGTTGACTAGGTCCTTCAGAATTGTTTCCATACATAACACTGCTCATTCTGCATGCTTAGACAATATGGTCCATATCAAAGAGTCCTGTTAATTGAACATTTATATCCTTTCAAACAGGGGACTCTTTCTGTTGTAGCTCTTTGGCTCCACATTTCCATGCATATGTTAAATTGGGATAAAAATTACAAAAATGCTGGGGTGTTGTTAAAAACAAGAAATATAAAATTGCCAACATCCACGGAGAGGTTGGCTCACAGTCATATGAAGGGTTATGAACTGAGTGCTTATTTTTCATGATTTTAAATCAGGACTTGTTTGGCAGCTACCACTTTTGCATCCAAGTGATACATATGTTGACCAAAATACTCCAGTCCTCACGATGCATCCCCAATTAGCTTTTTACAGTGATTACTTCTGTATGCTAAACATAATAAAATGAAATAATGCAGAAGAACGCAAGTACACCAGAAAAACATGCAGAAAGAAAAACAACCCTAAAAGATATCCTAAATGTCTTTAAACGTCAAGCAAAAAATAAATTAAAATGTTTTGAAAACATTGCTGATTGTAAAACAGTTATAAATTCATGGAGTTTAAGAACACCATTGACTGTACATTGAAAGTTTAGCTTCCCATGACCAACTAAAAACTGACTAAAGTTGAAAATCTGGCGTTGTTTTACCAGATTTGAGTTTTCCACAGTTATATTTAATAAACAGTAATAAATAAACATGCACCTCTGTAGTTCAGCCGAATCCTGTATCCAGCCTGAGCATCGTTGTTCTGTTCTGCTCACTGACTATACATGCGGTTTATGTATTCTATAGTGACTATAAAAACAATCATTTAAGAATCTTTTCAGCAAAGCACTTATTTGATAATAAAAGAAAACTAACTACAATGAACACAACTTCTTTGGTTCAATTTCAAAACAACCAATGGAATATCAATTCTGGTATTTCCCATTTTTGCACCTGCTCTCCAGATATACAGTGAAGGATATGAAACCACATTGCCATTCAGTCAGAGGCCAATGTTTGGAAACACTACTGATTTTAATAGTTGTAGGTTTGGACAATCTGTTGGAAAAACTGGACTGGATAAAGATAGAAAATATATCCTTTATGCTCATAACAGAACTATAAAACTGTCCTTTGCAAATATGGGACTAGATATGGGAATGTAATATGAAACTAGATTCCATTCATGGAGGCATGACCTTCATTAGACCTATGAAGGTGTGCTGTGGTATCTTGCACCAAGATGTTAGCAGCAGATCCTTTAAGTTTTTTAAATGTAACTTCATGGATTCATGGTCGTCCATCAGATGCTCAGTTTTAGAGAATTTGGAAGCTAGGTCACCAAGTAAAATGCTATTTACCCTTTTCACATTTTCACAAATCCTCATTCCTTGGACCTTAAATAGAGACTTCCCACTACAGACAAGGGATACCTCAAAAAGCCTGAGGATTGGTAGACGCTCTGACCCCGTCAATCTACCACCAAAAATTCAAATATTCTATGCTTTTCCATTTGCTCAACTTGTAACACATTAACTTCGGAGACCAAAAGATCGTAATATAATGACTAAAAGCTGTACTTTCATGCTAAGTCAAGGTAGCTTTTTTCTGACCCTGTTACCATTACTGTACATTTATATGTGTGCAAGAAAAACTTTGGATTAGTTGAAAGGAAACAGACATTGTTTCTGTAAGGTTGCTGCAAAAGCAAAATCATTAGCCACACAAAGTATGTTTTTATTTATTTTAACATGTTATGAAAAGCTTGGCTATGTTTGGAAAGGCTGGATTTATTTCACCTCTTTGTAACAGTGTCACTGAAAACTGAATCATTCTACCATTTTCACATTTCCCAGAGGCTTCAATCTTTCTCACACATGTTGCCTGTTTGATTACCAGAAACCAGAAATGCTGCCTAATGCTTTATGTGTTACAAAAACACAGTGGAAAAAGGTGAGTGAGGCCAAAGAGACACTACATAAATAATGTATTCCTCATTATCTTACTGTACATTAAAGCTTGAGAGTCCTGCACCTCCACTTATGTAATTTATTACCTCTGCCTAGCATTGACACTAAAGTGGGAAATTAATTATATCGGCCAATGTAACAGTTTAAGACAAAAATTTAATTTTAGTTTATGATGGGAAGGTTTTGTTTTACTATCTCCATAACAAGACTTTTTATTTTTTATTTTTTCTATTTTACAACAGAAGATCTTCGGAATAGAGCAATTCTTAATTTACTTTTGGGACATTCAGGTTAAATAAATTTCTTGTCTCAGGAGACAATGAAGTCATTTACCAGAATAGACAGAAATGACAATTATATTTTCCATTACAATGAAATATCCATAAATACAATTTCATGATTAGCAAGTTAGGAAGTGCTGTATAGATGGTGTTTTTAGTAAGACGTCTACCTTATCATTTCATTGTTAAAAAGAATGTAAAATTTTGCTGATTTAAAGAAATGAATCTAAATAGAATTATAATATGACATACAATTTCAAAAATTTTAGAAACAAGATTTAAATGTAAAGGTTGGGATTTACTGTAGAGTTTTAGTAATCCCTACAATGTTGAAATCCTAGATACTGACCCGTACAAGCATCCAAATGGTCAAATAACCACCATTTGTTGTAATTCATTGTTGATTTTTTTATTTTCAATTTCACTGTTTAATTCTCCAAATGTCTCTTTATTTTAGACACTGGCATAAAAATCTTGGTTATTTATTACAGTTTATTTATGTTGCATGCCATATCAGTAACATGGACCTTATGTAAGAATGTGTAACTTGTGGATAAGACAGGTATATTAATGGTCGTACTAAAAAGGAAAGAGAACTACCTACCAAAAAATAAATAAATTGAAACTCAGTGTGACACAACTAAAATGACTTTGGCATCATTGGGAAGAGGATTTATCCTTTAGAAGAGGTTCATTGTTTTTCTTTTCTCAAGCATATTCTATGTTTCAATCAGGAGTCTTTTTCAACACGTTACTGTTTGCTATGTGAGGAGAAAATAGAAGTTGAAGTAATAAATGTCAATGATCAATCTGTCACAGCAGAGAACCAACGTACTCTGGGAACTTGCTCTCACATAATAGCCCTCTTGAAATCTGTCACAGAGCGTTATTTCTCAAATTGACAGATGCAATAGCCTCTTCTAACTTATAGTATATTAGAGCTGATTGGTCCCAAAGTTCTCCAGGTAAGATCTATTTTCTTAAATCTACTTTCTTTAGCAAAATGGAGAATATATATTGGAACTTAATTTATTTTATTTAGATGTCTCTTAGTTTCAGCAGATCTTTTTGAAATGACTTTATGACAACCTAAGCAGCCATCAAGAGCTGCAGAAGCCTGTACATTTTTTAAATATTAGTCGGGTGTGTGGAAGCGAGGAAAAATCTAAAACATGCAGGGCAGTGGTATTGAGGAACAGGAGAGAACCAGTCGCTCAATGGACAGTCACTAACCCTAAAGAACGTTAAGCAAAACATATTTATTGTTAAATAAGTCAGGCAAGTTCTTAACCTCAGTGAATATCTAAAAAGTTTTATGCAAGGAAAAAGTTTGGTAGAAAAAGGTGCAGGAGCATCAGCAGTTGCAATGAAGGAACTGCAATGCAAAGTCTTGTCAAGAGTTTGAGGAAGATCCAAAGCATTACAAAACTAACTGAAAACCTTCAGCATACATTTCCACTTTAGGTAGATTCGTATGTTATTTTCCAGAAGGAATTGTTTCCTGTCTAATAACTACTTTAATGGTCATGGTAGCACTGTGCTTAATTGCCCAGCAAACTTGGCAGACACAAACCCCAAAGAGAATTTTAACTGCATTAATAATTGTGAAATTCATTAAGATTCACCTGGTTAGCAAATTAAAATGAGGCTTGTATTATAGGCAGTATCTTTTAGATAAATAAATAAATAAATAAATAAAAATAAAAAAAATATTTTTTTAGGTTTGCTACTTTGCTCAAAAAACCAAATGTATGAACTGTATAAACCTCTCTTAACACACCTTAACGCTTTGTATTCATACACACAGTAAAATACACTCCTTGTCTACATACACTCTGCCTGACACTCACTAAGAGACATTGCTGCTCTTAGGCCAATACTAGAAGTACAGATAATAAGTCCAGTAGAGCAGGTTGACCATGACAAAAGACAAAGGGAAGGTAACTCTTGAGTAGTTGTCTATGTGGTGGGGATTTTTGATATGACAGCAGCTTACGAAGCGAAGGATTTTGCGAAGTGTAGCAAGAGTGGTGAGGCACCAGTTGGCGGGTTCTGCAGGGGGAGCTTCAGGCTTGGGCTCACTGCCTGAAGGACTGGAGGGGCTGACAGTGAGTTCTGTTGAGGCAGGAGCTGGGGTAGAGGGGACAGAAGGCTCCTTGCGTCTCTTTGCTCTGTTGGAGTGAGTGGAAATGGTGGTGACCATGCCATTCATTTCGTCATCCATGTCGTGCATTTGGTGGCCATACTGCAAGAGAGGTTAAAAAGTTGAGAAAAAGTTTAGATGGAAGAGAAAAGAGTGATTGGAGAATGGGGGGAAAAAAACACACATCTGGTGTTGCGTCAGTATCTTACCTGCAGGGCACTTGACCAAGTGTCAATATGTCATGAGTTGGGAGAGAGACTCTATTAGTCTCTGCAAACATAGACCATGTCTGTGGATGTACAGTATGCATTGCACAGATGCAGATGCATGACATTAACAAACCTTGCTTTTTATAATTAATTGAAATTTAAAAATTCTGGGAGTGCTGCAGAAAAAGGTGCTTAGCCAGGTTGGGATTGACACAAAACCAATCACTGCATAAGTCCTTTCTCACTCTTCAAATTGAAAACCATATTATCATTTGGATTAGTAATGGAATATTTTAGTCCCAGCCTGTGTCTCTTCCACTTAAATCATAAACTAACTTTTTTTTTAAGGACCTGTTGTTGGAAAATTTTTATTTCTCTTCTATTATGTATTCATTTTTCCTATTTACTCACTATAAAAGTTTTCACTCAGTCTGTTTCACTTTCAAAGCCACACCATTCTCTGCAGGATGGTGTTTGTAGACCAGATATAGCTTCTTCCCAAAACAAATCAGATTTTTTTTCAAGGTTTAATCATACCATGTTACTGTTTAACCAAAGTGTCTGTAATTTATTTCAACTCTGACTACTTTCCAATGTTGTAAGTAAGGGGGAACGAATGCTGCCCAGATCAGAACAGGGCAGAATGCTGTGCCATTAGGGCTGTATGCTGAACTGTTCTCTCTTTGCAAAGATATGAATAAATGTGCCGACTGAGTGAAATCCATCAATCTCCGTTTATTTAACTAGGATGAATAGTTGAATACTTTTTTCCCCATGACAGACCATACAAGAAATGTTTTTTCTTAATTTGCAAAATATTGAGTTAGAAAAGTGTTTAATTTCAGATGTCTGCTTAGGTTGAATCAGACTATGATTGAGTTGTTGAGCAAAACACATTCCAGTTGGGTCAGTTGGAGCCATTTTGGGTGTTTCAGCTGGATAATGATGAAAAAATATACAAGCAGCCACCCAAACCTGACTTCCCCATTCCTTCTTGGTCAATATAATCCCCATAACTAAATCCCTCTTAAATTCTTTACCTCATTGAAATATAGACAGAGGCTGAACACTGCCTTGTAAGCACAAAAGGGTTTTAGCTGAGCTTCAGTAACAGGTGCCAATACTTATTCCACTCATCATACTGAACCAAGTACTTCTTGATATGATGTTTTTTCTCCCACTGACTAAATACCTGAAATTGAAAGTTGATTTCTTTTTTTCTTGTGCTATGCCTTTAACTGTGGAAGGTCTTGTATGAACACAAGTGTTGAAAACAATATTGTAAAATTTATAACAAAGGGACTCACCATCAGCAAGTGAGCATCGGGGTGAGTTAGAGTGCAGAAGTGGGCCACAGCGTATTCAATGAGAGCTCCAAATATGAAGCTGAAGCAGATTCCCAAGTAGACATCGATGGCCTTGATGAAACAGTTGGCATTGGGCAGTGATGTCCGGGCTCCCATCATCAGGGTGGTCATAGTCAGAACTGTGGTCACTCCTGTCAAACGATCATTTAAACGGCATTGGTTTGAAGAGGTTTGTTAAAAAGGGCCATGTTTAACAACACAATAAATCACTGTTAACTCCCCTTTGCAGTAGAAAGGTAAATTCTCCTTTTTTGATTAAAATTTTTGCCTTGAGCCTTTCTGTGACAGCGAGTTGAAATAATTTACTGTTCTTCATTTCTTCACAATATGCTCCACAGATTTATTCCCCAAAAATATGAACACAGATTTCTTTGAAAACAGAAATCCAACACAAAGTACAAAGTAACAAAGGGAGATTTGCACATCAATACAGATGGTAAGATTCCAGATCAGTGGGCACATTAATATTCACGTTTGCTTAAAATGTTGCATCTTGAGATGCTATGTTGTTGTTAAACTGGATTTCAGAGAAAAGTCTTGAGAAGAATGAGGAGGAAAGGTTCTACTGGTATGCAGTCTCTCTTTTTACACTATGCAGTAAAGCAATATAAAGCTGGTCTATTGAATCAAATACAAGAAATGTTAGCCAGGGGCTAAATCTGGTATATTGCAGCTTTTGAATGCAAATAATGTTCTTAAAAATGTAAATTCTAACTCATTTATGCAGGTTTATTAATGGTATGGAAATTATCTTTTTGTACTGATATCAAAATTTATATTGAAATTATAAGGAAAGGGCAAAAAGCAATGGAAGCTAAAAAAAAACAAAAACACATCTTGTGGTTTTTATGCTCTACAAACTGTTGTAACTCGGTCAGTAATCGAAAGATTGCTGTCTTTATAGGTTCATTTTCTATGTGCTGTAATTTGGAGAGGGAGTTAAAGTGTTTAATTAAAGACAAATTAACACTTAGCTGATCACCGCAAACAAGAAAACGGATTAAAAACTGGCTTTACTGTGATGCAAACTAGTTGTTAAATAATTTCTCTGATAGCCATATAATAGGGCTGCGTATGTCAGTTTTCTGAACTCTGTGTTTCCTGGCTCAAGTTCTATGACACCAAGAAAAAAATGAAATATTGTTTTAAATTGTTGCATTCCCACACTGCAAAAACATTCTGACAATTGGTAAAAATGTCTTAAAACTTAAACCTTTAATTAAACAGGAAAATAAAATGATCTGCGAATGGAATGTGCATATTAGCCTTAGAATAAGATAATTAGATATTATGAACTTGAAATAAGAGACTGCAGTTGTTTTTTTTCTTATCTTAAATATAAATGGTCTTGTTCCATGTGCAAAGTGTCTCTCCCACTCAATTAAAGAAAAATGACTCAGATTTACAATTTTTGCAGTGTAAGGTTTGCCATAATGTGATTACGGAATCAGAAAATAGCACAGACAAAATTACTTATTTGTAAAGATGAGTTCCAGACCTATTTGGCAGAGTAATTCAACCATAACTGTTTCCCTGTGGTGCCAAAGCGAGTGCCACCAGTCGCCTTGGCTTGCAAAAAAGCCACAGCTTATGTGCAGAGTGCCTGCAAAGTGGCAGTCTGTCACATAACAGTGATGTGTTTAATCCTTCCCAATAGGAAATTCAGAATCCATGATCTGTGAAATCCCACATAGTTCCTCTAAACGTCCTGTTTGGTTACGTGATGCTTGATCAGAACTCCTGTTAACATGTATGCCAGAGTTGTTTTTTTAAAGTGATGTGTGAATAAGTAGGGAAAGATAGATCTTTATGATTGAGCTGTTTTGTAAGAGATAATTTTGACCTCAGATAATCTAGGGATCCAAATCTCAAAAATTCCTTTATGTCATTTACTTTTTTTTTATAAAGGGGTTTGGGATTTATGTCTCATGATCAGTTATTAAGAAAATGCTCATCTTTATAAATGTTTTCAAAGAAACTAATACCAAGATAAATGTAATCAAGTCAAACTCAAACATCTGTGTGTATGGGCAAACAAATGCATACCTATACAAATTCGAGCTGGAACAGATGATAAGGAAATCCAGAAAGAAACCCATGAGAGAACCACCAACAGGCTGGACGGGACATAAGTCTCCAGAATGAAATACAGAATGCTTCTTTTCAGCTCAAAGTGGAAAACCAGTCTGGGGTAATGGCCTTCAAAAGAAGAGAACAAAGAAAAATAAAAGAAATGCTAAATTCTAACAATTTCAGGATTAGACGAATCAGACTGTTTAATTACTTTACTAGTTTAATTCAAAATATCAAAAGATAAAACACTTGTTTTTAGTCAAATATAAGCATTAGCCAAAGATTTGGGCTTTTCTTACCCGTTTCATAGACTGCCTCTGAGACTGATGTGTAATGGTCCTCTACAGTGTACTGAGCCAGTTGGAGAGTGTCTAAGCCACTCACAGACTCATTTCCTCGAGTCCAATAGAACATAACATCATTGATGTTGTAGCCCCCTGTTAAAGAACAAGAGATAAAAAAATGAGCAAGTATCACTACTCAATTTTTACATATGTGTCTGTAGCATGTAGTCAGAGCATTTCTTAGTTATTTAGTTTCATTCTTTGTTCAATAACTTAATTTTATGTTCAGTCTCACCTTTACTTATTACTGTTTAATCTATAAGCACTAACTACTGAGCAGCTGAGCAGAGTGGTGGTTCTATACCTAATTTTCCAAATGGGTTAGGGCGGGGTCAGTGTTTGTTTCATGGCCGCATGGAGAAATGCATGAAACAAAAACTAGGAAAGACCACTATTGAGCATTTTCTCTATGGATAAACTTTACATGCACAAGTGCACACTCACAAAAAACTACAGGTGCTTGGTTCCAGGTACTTAAGAGATTCACTTCCATACAGAAAGCCCACATTCATATCTTCAGGTAACACAGAGTACATGTCAGACTTAATAATATTACTTCAGCGATAGTTTCAAGGTGTTGATTTATTGTATATCTCGTACCATGTCTTTCGGTTGTGCTGTTCTTTTTGCATGTCGTTGCAGGTGATGAAGCAGACTGAAAATGTTTTGTCATTGTCTCCTTTCTGTCTCCTTTTTCTTTCATCTTTTCTCTTTTTTTTTCTTTTTCTTCTTCTGTTTTTCCTGTTCTGTTCTATTTACATTGCAGTGTCCATATAAACTGTAAAACTCCCTGCATAATTATAATAAAGCAATTTATATGCATGAAACAAGTGGAGCAATATGGCAATTGCTATACTGCTCCACTTGTGAAAGTAAAATCTGTTGGGCTCTTTTTGGCATCAAGATAATTATTCTTATTGCCACATTGCCAGACAGGACACTGTTAAAAAAAAAAAGGATTTATAAAGGAAAGATCTCAATATACAAAAAGAGCATTTTCTTGTGTGGCTAAATCAAGTTTTTATTGTTTCACGTGTATTTTTCTTTTTTAATATAACATGATTGAATATTTCAAAGTGTTGTATGATCTGACAACAACTGTTAGAGGAAACTATTGGTATTAGTCAAAATCTGCATGTTTGGCTATTTAAAGATTGGTAACAGCCAGAAAACGGCATTCAGTGCACTTAAAACTGTGATCACATGTCAATGTAACTGGAAAAAAAAAAAAGATCAAAGGGACCAATCAGTTATGGTCTCTGTACCAGCTCATATAATGAGAAGAAATGTATTCAAAATTACCTCCTTAGAACAGAGGCTGGGTAAGACAGGCAAGTATTTGTAGGTACCTACTCATGCATGGGAAAAGCATGCAATGCTCAAACAAAAACAACCAAGTCCAGGATTCACCAATGTATCATATCTGGGTATCAAGGTAACATTACCATGCAGCCCTCAGAAGAAACTTTATTAAAGTAATGTCGCTGTATCACATTATGTTTCAGCATAGGCAAATACTTAACAGTGAATGACTTGCTTGAAAAAGATTAGGACTGTGACATTTTCTTTGAATACAACACTTTGGAAACATATTCTATTAGGAGCAGAGCAGATTTTGATGTGAGTCTTCATTTTATTTTTAATGTATTGTGGTTGTCAAGTTTGAGTTCATTAAAATGGAGGGGGACAATCAATGCATGTTATGCAGTCAATCCTCCTTCTGCATCTGTCCTGTATGATAACTGAAAATAAAGACAAATAGAGCCACAAAAGTTAATTTAAAAATATTCTACTTTGAACTTCCTAACAGGGAAGATTTGAGGCTATGAACCTAAACTAATTGGATTCCTTTCAAAATGCGAAACAAACGCACAAATGTGCAGACATAAACATTAAATTAATGTTGTTGATTTAACAGCATCAAAATAACTGATGTTTTCTTTATTAAAGCCTGAAGTGGCAACGAGAGAAACAGCAGGGAATGTTCATGGCTAATAGCTCTGCAATGTTCTGATCTTATTAAGACTCGGTTGTTTTAGAGTGCAGCTTCACGATGGGGGGTGGGTAAGCTGGGCATAATGCTAAATATCTGTACAAGAGAGACATTTGGGGGAAAAACGAAAACAGAATGCTGAAACAGCAGCTAGTTGAAATCTTCATTTAAAGCCATTAAATTTAGCCTGTTCAACACAGACTCATTTGGTTTTCTAATGTCTTAATTTACTACAGCCAATGTTTACTTCATATGGAAAAGCAGCTTCTCACCTCCATCCTTTTGATCTGCCATTAATAACCGTTTTGCATTTTCTGACACCATGACGGCAAACTTTAATTTCCTTATGGGACCTTAACTAAAAAGAGGTTTGAAGTGAAAAGAGAAAGATATGTGAATTTTACAATCTTGTTTACATAAAAAGTAAAATACATGGCACATAGAGGCATTGGGCCCCCTTACTCTGATACACCTGGGTAAAATTCCAATCAACCAATTACCTTTGTGTTTCTGTGTGTAAAAATAAGTCATCCTGCAAAGAACAGAGCAGAAATAAATAATGTTTCAGTGATGTTAAATGCTGGATTAGCTATAACAAGTTCCCAAGATTTAAACAATAGTTTATCCATTATCCAATAAATCGATAGAGCAGCACAACCCAAAGTGGGGCTTGGAATCCCTGTTAGACTCATTATGACGTGGCCCTTTGAAAAGTACTTTAAAAGTACTTGAAAAGTACTTTAAATAAATTGATATTTCAAAGAATAAAGAAAGGTTAATATCCAATTAAATAAATTATTTTTCCCTTACATGATACATTAGGTACATAAATGTACAATTTGATTGTATATAAAATGAACAGATAATTAAATATATCATTAGATAATGAAATTCACAATTAAGTGATTACATTTACAACTTCTCTAAAAAAATTCCATGAAATGTTCGGCAACATCTAATATAGAGCATGGTACATGTTAATTCGTACCAAGAGGAGAAGTTCTACTAAACAGGCCGGGCAGGGAGAACAGTGATCAGAGAATTGAAAAGAGGCCGTATAAGGTTATTCAGGACATGTCTGATTCAAGAACTTCTTTGGGTCAGACTAGAGCAGGAGGAAACCTAATGGCCTAAAAGCAAAACACAAAACTAACCTGGTATATTTCCTTAAATTTACAATCTTATTACAATCTTTATGAAAAAAATATTGTAGTGGAACCATCGTGGGGAGGCATGTGGAGTTTTATTTAATTCAGTAGTGATAGCTGTCATAGTGGACATGTGACAAGCGTGGGGCTTCAAATTCCAGCTTGAAAACAACCTTAAACATGCAGCCAGACTTTAGATCAAAGGAAAACCATGTGCTAAGCTGTCCAAGTAAAAATATAGACTGAAATGTTAATAAACTCCAACTTTAAAACTATTTTTTTTTTAAATGGACACCATCTATTGAACCTGATTTGTTTTTAGCAGGATTTTTTAAAGCAAAATGGGCAGAAATTTTGTTCTTAGACATGCAAAGTAGAAAATGGTATCATCAGATTCAAATGCATGCCACACTTTTCAGCTTTCTCTTCTCTAAAATATATGAAAAAACATTTTGTACTTTAGGATTTATTTTGTAATTATGCATTCACCTAATCCTGATAGCATTCTAATAAGATGTATGAATTATTATTTTTGGTTGTAATATGAAAGAATTTGAAAAAGTTTAAAGGGCTCAAATAACCGTTGCTTTTGCAGTTATTTAAAACAGTCCCAGAGAAGTGCATCACTCTTTCCTTGTATCATAACAGAAATAGACAAAACCATGCATATTGCACAAGGCCCTCAAGAACTGAGATAACCTAATTAATAAATTTTTCAAAGAAGGTCTACAAAACGCATATGATGACAGAGAACAGTCATGAATTAGAGTTTTTGCTTTGCAATATTCAAGAGTAATACTGTGAAGTCATATGAATTAGTATGTGTTTAATTTTCTTGTTGAAAGAAAAAAAGAACAGTTTTTTTAAATAAGGTAAAATGCCTCAGATGCATTTTCCAAAAGAATCTGCAGAGGGAGTTAGAGAATAAGAACTTCAGTTTGTGCTTTTGGCCAAGTCAGAAAATCTCCTGTCAAAAAAAGGTTGATTCATTTTTTAAATACTCAGTCTATTTAAAGCCATAAAAAAGGAGACTCTAATGAAAGTTGCAACCAAAAATATGTTAAAACTGTATTTTAAGCATTTCCAGTTTTGCCTCATTAAACACATTAAGTCAAGGACTAATGACCAGAGCCATGGCATGAAGCAAAATATAGGACATGTTTTGTTTTTTTTTCCCTCTAACTTTATTTCCTAAAGGAAAAACTAATCAGTATCCTGACCTAAATCAATGGCAAAATATGGGAATTCAAACGATGAGTGACACATGGAAGTACACTATTCCTTACTGTACCATATTCTGACTAAAGAGTTTTATAAGGGGCATTGAGCACTGACATTTTCTTTGAAACAAGCACTACGGAATAATGATACTTTTTAAGTGTCTGCTGCTGCAAAGACTCAATAAATATTTTACTGCAATTCTAATTTAAACACCCCACACACTCCCACAACAGCATTGCCTTTAAAGCTTCCTCCTGTGCAGAGCATCAAATTCTGGCACAACATTAAAAGAAATAATCCTTGGTTATACATTTTCATAAAGAGAGACAGGGACAGTGCAGGAGGGATATGGAGACTGAGCGAGAGGAGGACCGGATGTGCTACAAAAAAGAAACTGAGATATTTAGAATGGAATTGTTGAAGTACCAGAGGAATAACGCTCATCCTCTTACTAACCTGACTTTATTCTTTAAAAGTCTTTCTGTCAGCTAAGCTGTACTGGAACTTGAAGTAAATGTTTTGTGTTGAGCTGAGGTTTTGGTTGGCTTCTGGCAAGGATCAAACTCAGCTTAGCCAAGCTGGCTGTCATTTTATAGAAAAGGTTAAAGTAAGCTAGAGATATAAAGTGAAAAAGAAGATGTATAATATCCACATCTTGTCCTTTGAAATATGAACAATGAATGAACTGTTTCCAACAAAATATCATCACTTTACTCAATTATGTCCAATGAAAAAAACAATAAAAATATATGTTAAGGACAACTGAGATGTTAATACTGTATAAATCCTTTTTTTTTAACAGTGTCCTGTCTGGCAATGTGGCAATAAGAATAATTGTCTTGATGCTAAAAAGAGCCCAACAGATTTTACTTTCACAAGTGGAGCAGTACAGCTATCGCCATAGTGTTCCGCTTGATTTATGCATATAAATAGCTTTATTATAATTATGTAGGGAGTTTTACATATTATTTAGACACTGCATTGTAAGTAGAAAAAAAAAGACAGTCTAAATCCAAGGCACATCCAATGTTGTATTTAATCAGAATAAACTTTTAAGCTTAAAGTTGTGCTATTTTAGTTAGGATGAACAATGTTTATTTTCACTAAATACCAGCATAAGGAGAAAAGACTTTCCTTAAACTGCATTTTGAGCTTCATGGATCAATGGCAAAGAACACAGTGTGTAGCACTGGTTCGTTGCAGCAAGAAAGTTTTTGGTTCCAATCCCAAGTGGGAGTCTTTTTCAACAGATTTAGCTTGTTTTTTAGAAGCTAAGAAGGTAAGAACAAAGGCATTAGGTTGATATTAATTTTATTTTCCTGTGTTTCTATGGTGCCTAATGATGAACATCAGACTTATCTAATTTGCTCCAGAAGAAAATGATTTATCCCTACATGAATCTGCCATCTTTATCTTGATGTCTTGTGTTGCCACTAGAGTAACAGCTTGTTCCATTCCAATAGTACCTTTTTAGCTTAGGCTGAAAGAGACATGTTACGGTAAACTGAAGCTGGAAATTTCTAAAGTAGCTTTTTCTTTTGTTGTGATACTGCCAAAAAAAACAAGTATGAAGGTATTGTGATCGAATGGAATGAAATCGTCTTCACAAAGTTGGCTAAACACAAATGGCATTTCTTTAGTTCTGAAAACTATGTCCACTGATCCCAAAATAATCTACATGTTAATCTTGTACTTTGTTTTGTTCTAATGCAACAAAACATGAGTGAAATACAGTGAGATATGCAGGTAGAGCATACAAACTGTGAGAATGTTAAAAGGGAATCAATACTTTTGCAAATCAGTCCAGGTGTGGCTTGAGAGAATACATACTTTTTGTGCTTTATCCTAGTTAAAGTTAGATGAAAGCTCTGTGGCCTAAAAAGGTTTAAAGGGTTCTGTGAAGCCTAAAGGTTCTTATAGAGTCACAGAAGAAAGAGCATAGCTTGTATTTTCTAAGCAAGTCTTCTCTGATAAAGAATATCATATTTTTAAGAACAACCCTCTGGGTTTGTGTTTGTTTTTGATGTTGGAGTTGGAAGTTTTAATGCCAAATAAAACAGTTTATTCAAATTTGACCTGAGATGTCCCAGCTTCTGTTGTAGAGTAACGTCAGCAGTCCTTTGTACATGTTCCGAAAAAGACTACACTTGCTTTTACAAGCGATGTAAAAAGATGAAAGAAAGTGATGTATTTGATCCCTATGTTTGATCACATTTGCCTTCAAATCACAGCCACCCACCAACTCCCCCTTCCTTGAGGAGCATGGCCCACATTTTCTTAACAAAGACTGAACTGTCCTTACAGCTCTCTAGTTGTAACGTGCAGGTCTGCTTGTCCATTGGGTACTTCGTCAGATCCATGTTGCATGCCACTGTAGTGGTAATCCTAAAGGACAAAAAAATTAAACTTTTATTCAGGAGGGAGTAGAATACACATTTAAATCTAAATGCTGAGATGTGAGTTTGCATGTTTTTTACTGGATGTAACTGTAATGTTGTTTTGTATCTGTAAAGTAAATCTAGCTAAGTTCTAATTACACATTTCTTAATGTTTTATGATTGCAAAGTAATAAAATACTCTAACACTTGCCATTCAATATGAAAAACCATTACATTGAATGAATTAGGATGCATACCATCGCATACTAAGACACTGGTTACAAAAAAGATCTTATTTTACAGTGCATTAATAAAAAACACAGATATACAACAATGATCCTAATATAATGCTGTTAACAGTAACAAGGAGATTACATTATTCATTTTATGGATATTAGGCAGTCTTTTGGCATTTTCAATACATTACCACAGAGATGTTATACAGCTAATTAGATCTGTAATCATTAGGCATGGGACGATGCACTGTGATGGATGATATAAATAATACAGCAATGATGAATGATATCTGGAGTCCTTCATTTTTTATTTGACATTGTGGAAATAACTGCACCCAGAGCGATGCAGAGCACATTTATTTTTATTAATATCTATGGTAAAGGTGAGAAAACCCTTGGAATGCTTTGATCATTTATTTAAATGGCATTATATCAAAGTAAAGATAGAAAAACAACCCTATTTGGTGAAAGCTACAATCCTTTGTTAAGAAATAGTTGTGTTTTTACACAATCACTAATACCACAAGTAACACAGTAATCTATTTTGATTTAAGATAATCACTGTTTTAATGTTTCTAACTTTTCTTATTTTCACCACTTCATTACAGTGTAGCATATGTTTGTAATCATTTAAAAAGTGCATACTGAGCGTGAAATTCATATTGAACAAACTACCATATTACCAGCGGTACTATTGGCACTATATTTTCATCAGATGTTGATAACAATCCATGAAATCTACACATACAAAGAAATCAAACCACAGATGTCCGGAAATTAAGTTAGGAGTAATAATGTGGAATCACATTCAGTCAAGCTGATAAATGTCAAAATGGCTCCTAAATTGTTTAAGTATATCGAGCTATATAAAACTTAATTCTTACAAGTATAATTTAGTTGTTTTACTTTCTGAAATTCAGTTTCTGCTTGCAAAAATAAAATTTAGAAAATTATATTTCTGACTAGGAATGGGATTTGACTAGCCTGGGTGCCATTCCGAACTTAGTCCCGCCCACAACGTTTGAGGTCGGGAAGTTCAGTCTGGCATTGCTCAATAGTAGCGCGAGTATGCTAGCACAATATCTGGCGGGCCAATCAAATTGTCAGGGCGGGCTTTATACGATGATGGACAGATGATCAACAGTAACGTAATCAACCACGTGACCAAAGCGCGCTTGGGTGACAACAACAATGGCTGCCGCTGGAGAGTTTAGGTGAGTAGATTCTGCGATCAAGGCTCATCTTCTTATTTTAGGCGTGAAACTGCACGCTTTGATTTTTGTTGACAACAGTTATGCATCGCTTAACATACGTCATGCACTCCGTTGCTCTTATTGGTTGTAGGTCTATCCAATTGAGTGCAGAGTCATTTTTTTCCTGGTTCATTCAAAACACGCCCCATAATCACAGCTCTATGGAGCAGCATCAGACTCATATTCTGACTAGAATTGAGTTGGACTACATCAGGCTACGATTTGACCAGGAAGAATCTTATTTTAGTGATCTACAAATTGAACAGCAGAGAGGAGAGTGCTGTTAATCAATGTTAAAACAGCCTGCCATATCAACCTATGCAATACTCTAGCAGCAATCTCCTACTATGCCATTTCTCTCTTCTTTGCAGCTGTCACTCTTTTAAACACTTTCTCCAATTTGGATTTTTATTCTTGCATTAAAATTTCTATTTCCAGTGATGGGAAATAGGCACTTCCTGTTGTCATGGTGACTTGTCGAATCGGAGCTCCACTAAAAAGGACTTTTCATACTTGTTATAAATATGTTCAGCTCTGAGTGGACCTACTCAGAGTTTATTAAACTAATTCACAGCAGCTTTTATGAAATCAAAAACTTAGAGTTTCCAACCTTAGGCAAGATCAACTCAGATTTGATTATTTTGAATCTGAGTTTGTTAGACCTGCTTTTTGAAGCGGGCCCCTGGTCCAGCAATAAAACACTCAGCACAGCTGTTCTTATCCTCCAGCATCATATATTTCTCACTTCACTCTGTCACCTGTCACTACTTAAATCCCCTGAGGTTACCTTGCTTCTTCTCACTGTTCTTTTTGTGCTTGTTTTATTTTCACAGATTTTTTTTAAGCTTCCTTTTCTCTTAACACCTCCTCTGTAACACCAAGTTCCTGCAAAATCTCAGTTTCCTATGTGAAAGCATTGGCCCATGAAGTTGGACCCACCGAAGAAAGTTTATATCGACCAGACTTCAAATAAAGTTATCTTCTACACAATATCACGTGGGTCTCAGGAATAGCAGCACTGATCAGACTTTTGACATAAAATGTTTGCATGTTCTTTAGAGATCTGAAGAAGTTTGGTAAATACAGAGGAAGTGTTACCCTGTGTAAAAAACATTTAGATATACAGTATATGCACACACCACATAGATCTGTGCAGACAGACATACAATTTCTTGTATCCAATAACCATAAAATGAATGGCTACGACAAAACTGAAGATAGAACTCTACCAGGGACATTTCATTAAATCTTACATATATACAGTGATAGATAATAGAAGGTACCGGATTATAAGGAATTCAATATCAAGGCATTTAAAAAAAGTTCCTGTTTTAATCAGTTTCATCTTCAGATTTAATCAAAAGGTAATTACAGCTAACCACATGTTTTTTAAACAAAGAAAATCAACAAAGATGAAGGCAAAAATATAGATATTTTTTATAGATATTATGAGGAAACGCAGAAGTCATGTTATGCTCATAAATCCAAATAAACGGCTGATAATCATCCACGTAGCAATTCTATACCTGGGGACATTTTGAGAAATTCCTGCTCTGTGGCATAGAGATGTTAGTTAACTCAATGTCATGAAAAAAAAAAAAGATGACAGCAGATATTTTTAGAGAAACTATTGCTTTTGTTCCTCACTATGAGAAATAGTCTAAGATATTTCCAGACTTTTTGAAGTTCATTGTTCAAGTGAGAAGTCAACCCGTGTTCACAGGAGCAGGAATTTCAGCACATTAAACTTTGACCATGATTATCAGAGATTATCTAATAAAGAAAAAGCTCCAACCTGAACTCTATAAATGGTAAAAACTGATTTTTTTACAGGCAATTGGAAAATTAAAGAAAAGGTATGACAGTATGTAAGAGTAAGCAGCTGTAAATACATGCATCTACACATGTGACTCTCATTGAACTGCACAGAAACTCATGTCTAAATGAATTGAAACATTAATTTCAGCTTTTGACCAATAACTTTTACATATGGCCCTTTTGTTTCTTTCAATAATCAGAACGATGTGGAGTACTAAGTATATTGTTTTACACTTGAAGTTAAACTAAAATTATTTTCATGCAAAAGCTGCAAATTTCAGAATTTCTTTGTCTCATAACTTCAAACTAAATATAATGTTATACACATTATTATGACAATAATGTTTCCACTCACAAACCAAACTTAATGTAAATCCTGCGTATTTAGTGGAAAATACTTAACGAAAATGGCAACAACAAAAAAAGAAATACTGAAAGTTAGTTGTTTGCACAGCAAAAAGTCTGGAGTACCCTTCCAAACTGAAGTTATGATGTGCATAGAATCCACACATCAAATGCTCCTGGACCCAGACAATCGAATAGTTGAGTACTAGTGTGGTATAACTCCCAGTGTTGCAATCACATTATATCAAATTCAACCCACGCTTTCTCCCTCAACCTGTTTCTTCCTGATTCACTGCCCTACTTTTCTATTATCTGCTGGAGCAGCAAAAAAATAAACAAACAAACAAACAAAATGAATGACCAACAATGCCTATTTATTCACCTTAGAGCGTAAAGGACGGTCCCATTGGGGAAGATGCGGATCAATCTGTTCTCCACGGTGATATCATGCAAGAAGGATTTCTTGGAGTCAACAATAAAAGTGTCTGGCACCCAGAGGAGCTCTACCAGCCGTCCATCAAGGCTCAGGCTCTTGTTGCCCTCAAACACCAAACGCTCGTCCGTCCAGCGCTGGCGGAGAAATATGGTGGCAGTGTAGTCCTGCAGGTTTGGGGACAAAAGTTCACAGGGGTTTCATAATACAGGCATATTGAAAATATACTGATGGTCATGTTACCTACAGAATTATTAATGAAAGGCAGAAGTTATACTGCATTACTGAAGCATGGAGGAAAATAGGTCCTGGAGGTCTTATGTACCCGAGGCAATAATTTCCCACAGCATTGTTTCAGTTTTGGAGAAAAAAAACTGCTGTTTATAAAAACCACTGAAAGAAGCAGTTCGTAATAGTAAAAATGCTGTTGAATGCATTACTATTTAGCGGGAAAGTGAACTTCTTCTAGTCTCTTGAAGCCTAACCACCATGATGTTTATGGTGTTTGCCAAAGGAAACAGCGTGTTTTTTGTTTTTGTTTTGCACTGCATATAATTTTACATGTATCCAAAACTATATATGTCATGATTGTGCACTTTTTTGTTCTATTTGTTTTCTTTTTGAGTTTTCAGTTATACTTTGATTTATGTTTTTCTGTGTTTTCTAGTTAATTGGTTTTATTTACATTTTGCATTGTTTTCTGGTTGTATTTGAGTTCTTGTTTATTTCTTGTTTACTCTCTGTTGCCCTCTTGTTTCAGTCTCCTTCCCCTAGCTCCATTCTAGATTCTTCTGTCCACACCTGCCCCCAATCAGTTTATTACACCAGTATTTGTTCTGTTTAACATATATACACCTCTTCTTAAGTTCTGTTTGCTGGTTCATTCCTGTGTTTTCCCTGATTATTTTGGCTTTATTGTATTTTGTTATTTTGGGATTTTTGCTTTAATTGCACTTGCCACTTTTTGGATCATGAAATCTTCAAGAAACTCCACCTCTGCATTTGGGTCCTCCTCAAAAAAAACTTTACACAACCTGACAATATATTAATCTCATCTAAACAGCCCTGTCTTCCACATCTTTGCTATTTCCCCTACCAATTACCAATTTGGGGATTGCACAGCTGATAGTTGTGCTGCCAACAGGTTGCTCCACCTGAGCTGTGACTACCAGTAGCTATAGGGTTAATAGCCAACATAGGTGGGCTCTTTTTTTAATATTTTGATGCCTTCTAAGGGCTCTTAGGGCAAGATTTTAATAAGGGTCATTTGAGAAAAGGGTGAATTATTTCCCCCTATAGTCATGGCATTGTATTCGTTTTTGCAAAGATCTATCTTACAAAACCCAAAGAATGAATAAAAAAGGGCTGTGAGAGAAAGGGGAATACATATTTTCAGAAGGCATAGCATGTAATTGGTTAATAATAATGATGGTCTAAGCTCAAAAAGGTAGCCTGAACAGTACATACATTTGTAGGGGGGGGGGGGGGCTTGCCCCGTTGATTTTCACTGCATGTCCTCCAACTCTCTCTAATCCCGGTTTTGTCTTTCAAAGTGATAAGAAATAAATGCCACTACTGCCAAAAAAAATGTATATGATAGTGTCAGGTAACTAGGCTGTTCTAAGTAGTGCTGTGTTTCTTAATAAATGTAAAACCAAACGCCCTGAATGGAAACTGTATGTACAGTAAGATGGATTTGTTAATATTGGGTAATTAGCTTTAATGGTTGTTTTAGAGTAAAAAAAATATCCTTTTATTTATTCAAAATGCTTTTGAATACTATTTTCCTTTATGTACATTTGAAACGGCTGACATCTAAAATCTTAAAAGTACCAGCTGTTGGGTTTGAGCACTTCAGCAAAACTTAGTTTTAACTGTTGTAGTTCATTTTCAAGATACATTTCCTAGACATCCAACAAAGTGATTGCATGCAATATAACTAATGAAATCATTAAATTTTAAGTATCTTACCATGTTAATCTCAGAGATGGTGTCAATGCTAGCAATATCCAAACTCATTCCCACCGTCACAGGACCGTCTAGAGAACAAGAGAGAACTATTATCCCACAGGCTAGTGAGCTTTTAAACAAAGCATTGACATGAATTCTTCTTCTAAGTGTTGTTGTCAGGTCTGTTTACTTGAAAATGTCAAACTACAAGAAGCTTTAAAAGGAGGACCCAGAAACAAAACAAAAAAAGATGTCAAATCGTGCCTTTAAGAAATTGCATCAGATCAAAATCTGATCCCAAAGGGCCAAAATCCTACATGTTTCATTTGTTAGGTGCACCATTTATAAAACCAGTGGGTCAGAAAAAGGTAGAATTTCCTTCTAAAAATTATCTGACGTTGGATAATTTCTGAAACTGTCAGCTGTTGCAAACATTAGCAGCCCTTCCTAGTCAAAAGCCCGCCGACTGGCAGCAGAATGGCAGCAAAATCCCCTCCAACTTCCAGCCACTGGCCTTCTCATGGGCATGCATATTTCTTTACTCTGACTCCACCCTTTCACTGAATTAGAGGGTCTGACCAGGAGATAATGCTTATCTTTAGATATTAATGTCTACAAATTATGACAGAAAAATACTTTAGATGTTGAAGAAATTGTATGGGACTAGCCAAGGACCAGCCAAATACTAGCCAAGGGCCAATCAAGGAAAGTGGGGAAATTTTTAATGGCTACTACTGTATGGAGGACCAACATTTATGGCCAAATCCACACAGAAATGATTTGCTAAATAAAGACTTAACCTTCTCAAAGTCTAACTCAGTCCAATGACAAAGATCTTACATATCACATATGTTCTGAACTGAAGAAAAGAGAAGGCAGAGAACTCTGGATGAAATTGTGCAAAGAGCAATGGTCATAGATCTCTCTCTCTTCTTATGCTCCAGTCTTGTGAAATGTTACAGGACATGATTAAATATCAAACAAAGTTCAAAGTCTTACCAGCAGGGATACCAATAATCATGCAGAATAAATTAACTCAAATTAAAAAGATAGTTAAAAGATATTTTTTTTTCCTAAAATTTAATTATGCTGCTAAAATAAAATAATAATTTATTTTATACATTAAATATTCTTACTGGCAGAGCCAGTGAAGTTATCTTTATTTCTATATCAAACATGCTCTTTCCTTTACAGCTACAATATATACATTTCAGAACAAAATCAGTGCATAAGCCACATGAGCTGCTCGGATTTTGTGACACCATTGTCCCCTGATTACTTTGTCATTTACACATCTGGATATCTTTGCTGATTCCTTACTGTCAAAGAAAGGCCTGAGATACTTGTTGTATCCTTTCATCAGCCTCTGAATGGTAGGAGGCAGAATCTCTCCTTCCTTCACTTCTGCGTTGAGCAGTGAGTTCTCTAACAACCTGAGAACAAAAAAGAGAAAGACTAAAATAAAAGACAGCTCTCATTTCTTTCCCCCTCAGCAGGTAGATTCTTAGACTGACGAATCCGTAGGGTGCCGACTGAGCTTCTCTGCTACTCATGAAGAGCTGCTGAGCTGAAGATTAAAATGGCAACTCTGAAATAGAGGACAAGCTCAGAAAAAAATAGACATCTTGAGTTAAATATAATTCAACAGAAATTATTCCACAGCTTTGGTCAGTTTTTGTGTCAGTTTTTGTATTTTAAAGTGTTGCTTTCATCTGTTTGTTCCACTTTCCTCCCTGAATGCTATCCTTAAAGGCACATTGAAGTGTAGGAAGATGATCATGTTGCTTGCAAATTAAAGCAGGGGAGATTGGGCAGTATGTGAATCTTCCTTTTCTTTTAGTTTGTAAAGCATACCCTAAATGCAGAGCTACCCTGTACAGAAAGAACCTCAAGGCACATGCCATGATGTAAGAGAAGCTAAAGCAAGACAGATCGGGCCATGTGTGCAGGCAGAAAAATATTCATCTCCCCACACTGGCAGCATTCCTGTCACTTGTGTGCTGCTGTCGTTGAGTATGAAGGAGCAGAGCAAGGAAAGGGATTTAAAATGGGTGCAATATTTGGTCCCTCTAATGTTAAGCCCTACATGAATCATGGAAATGTGAGTGAAAATGCTTTAATCTATCAAAGCTTTATGAAATGATTGACGTAATTAAATCCCAAATACTATTAACCACTGCCACAAATTAGAATGCTTTTTATGCTTGTGATTGTACAAGCAATTGAAAATGTGTCTTCTATTCACCACAACATAATGGATGGATGGACGGATGGATGGAGCCCTTCTGTAATGTAACATTCGGCTAGAAGGTTGTACTAAAAATCATACTTATAAGTAGCCCTTAATAAATTTCAAATAGTTAAACTTACTAATTAAACCTCTATTTAATGAGAATTTACCTGAATTGTTATTTTAACCAATAAATCATTTCAATTAATGAAAGATTTCTGTAAATTTATTACACATCAAGAAAGACTTCTTTTTTTTTCCCTATTAAGCAAATAAAGGTAAATAAATTTTGACTTTTTTTTCCACCAAAAGTGTTGACCTTGTGTTTAGAGTCTAAATTAACACCTTGGGAAACTTGCCATAACTCTGCAAAGTGCATAATAATACTTTCAAAGCCACCACCATACCTCTTCCTTGTGCAGACTGCATGTGTATCATATTTGTTTTCCATCCACTTCACTGATATGCCCAGACATAGAGTTCTGTTAACAACAAACTCCTTTTGCATACATTTTTTTGTTGTTATTCTAATTTAACTGCACAACAGGAACAGAACCATAATTAGGAAACCTAGCTTTGGTAATTTCATTACACACATTTCAGACAATATATCTGGACAACTGATTAGGAGCAAGATCACCTGAAGTTCCCTGTTTTAGAAGCCAAACGTGGCATTTAACAATCTGAAACATTGTGCAAGCTATTATTTATTATTATTAGATGCTGTTGCACTCAAACCTCCACAAACACACATTAAGTACCAGGCAAAACCAGTAACATTATCAAGGCAATAAAAGGAAAGTGTATGTTAACCCTTTAAAGCCCGATATAAGAATAAAACAAAACAGAAAATTACTTTTTTTTTGTTTGAAATCCTTATTTTCCCTCTTAACAAAATATGTAAAAAGAAAAAACAGAAATACATTTTTGATATTAATAATTTATTACTTTGTGATAAATCAAGATTATTTTTTGTGTAGTCTTCTACTGGCTGTTATCAGGTATATCTGATTGTGTACAATAGGATTTTGAGCAAAGTTTTTACCATTAAATTATGCAAAAGGTGTCAGATGAAAACATTTCAGAAACCGTATGTATCAAATATGATACATTTGGCACTATAGGGTTAGTGACAAATGAAGTGTTCAATTTCACAACATTGCTGGTGGTGCACTATTCCAACTTTTAAAAGGTAGAAATATTTATTTCTGTAAAGCTTCCTGACAGTTCATATTCTGACTCTTTTTTTTTTTTTTTATCTCCAATTTCATTTTAGGAAAATATTTTTCTGTCTCTCTATGCTTTGTTTTTCGCCACTGTAATGGTACGTTTTGTTCCAATTGAAGTCCTCTGTGTCTCATCATTCACTCTCCCTGTGTGTGTATAAATATAGTCCTTTCTCCTTTCCTTTCCTTTGTCATTCTGTTTGCCTGCCAGATTTATCATCCTCACCTGCTAGCTTGTTTTCTTGTTTTCTCACTCTTCTTTTTGGATAATTGTGTTCTATGCAGCTATTTATTCCAACCTGTTTCCTTTGATGCTTATTTTATGCAACTGCTTCTCTGTCCAGCAGATCTTTTAAACTGACCTATGTTTAAAATAAAACTCAATGTCAATCACACTGAGTGACAATAGCAGGATATCTACACTGAAGATAAAACTTTCTTTTTTTCTTACCCCCCATGTTTTTTTTTCTTTGACCTGAACTGGACCCCACATCTTTAAACTAAGCTTGAAACCCAAGCAAAAAATAACACAGAAAAAAAAAAAAAGAGTACTTGCAAGAAAGCTGAATTGCTTTACCTAACTTTATCAAATCGCTTAAAAAGGTAGGGGGTCCCAACCCTGACGAGCTGATGCTATGCTGAATAAAGTCCCACAAACACGGCTCACAGTCTTGTGTTACAGTTGGCAGCAGGATTTCATATGGAAGCAATGTTAGAAAAGAGGCTGGCAGCATTCTGCTTTAAACATAATCTATCTGAATCACCCTGTATGAACCGTCATCTTCCCACACAAATGTATTGCATATGTGTTTGTAGTAGCAGAGATGAAGAGCAAAAAAAATATTTTTTGTTTAATCTCTTTATGAATAAATTAGCCATACCATCATAGCAAGCTGAAAACATATAGTTCTATACTTCTATTACAGAACTGTTTTTTTTTTTATGTTTTTATACTAATAAAGCAACCAAAAACATAATTGAAGATATATAGTTCTGCCAAATGAAAAACAAAGGCTGTAAGATAATGTAATGCAACTCCTGTTTTTTTTTTTTTTTGGTTTGTTTTGTTTTTTTAAAACAATGTCTCACATCCCTTCTGATTCCGTCCATCTCAGTAAATCCCTAGGCTCTAACGTTTGGCTGTCTAAACCTTCACCTTTAAGATGAGACTTGAGCTTTCCAACCTGCCAAACAGTTGCTATCCACTGAGCCTTGACAATGAAAAAGAAAAAGCAAAAGAAACAGTGAAGGCAAAGCATAACTCCAAAACACTCAGAGAATTGACAATTTTTTCCATAGCAAGCAACTAATATGCCCTTTCTAATCCAGGAAGTCACACATTACTGAAAACAGAACTTCAGTTTGAGCCATCCATGAATCAATGACCTATATAGTACCACATATGTACTTACAACATATACTACTCATATGCATATACCGTACTCTACGAGTACTCTACTCTATACTCTATACATACTCTACGATTGTGTGGCTATGTTAATGCACTTTGTGATTTGATTTAACTATGTGTTCAAATAAAATAATTCATTGTGATTGTGTAGCTAGGCTAGAGAGACTGAACCTTGGGGCAGAGTTTCCTGTTTTTACATTCAGTTTCATGGCATAGCCTCCCAGCAGATATCTCTGCCCATTCACTTCCTCGTTCTCTCTGTATCCAATGCACACAAGGCATTGGCCCAGGCTCGCCCTGCACATTTCACAACTGATTAATTCAGTTGAGCTTAACCCCTGCAGAGAACTGAGTAACACTCTCAGTGGACCCCTTTCTAACTCTTAACGCCACTCTTCCTCCCACACAGCAGCAGACTTGACTCAAACCTGCTCACTCCAATTCCCTTTTTTCAGTGATTCATGTCATTCATGCTTCCAGGCTTGCATAGGTGACCGCTTGAGACCCCTAATCCCTGAGGCCATCTGTAAATTTAAAAGCCCAAACCACACAAATGAAAGGCTTGTGGCTTTTCTGTTTGCCAAGGCAACAATTAAATAAAAGTATCTGTCTTTAGGCATGATCGACCAAAATCTACTTGACATAATTGCATAAAGTTTGACCCAGTGATTTCTAAACAGCTCTATATTTCAGACGGTCTTGGCAAATGATTGCAGTCTACCAGTTGCCTTCCAGTTCATGTTCTCCAGTTTTTAAATCCTTCCGGGTATGCTTTAAACATTAGTTTCCCATTATGTATCGTGCATTCATAGAATGTATTTAGAACAGGATATTAAATAGGCTATGGGGGCCTTCTTTACTTTAAGAGCTTAGAAATAAAGCCTATTCCTATTCAGACAACCCTGCACATTTGGATCTTATTTCACAGCACATATTTGTTTAGAAAAGATACTAAATAAATTAATTTTCTCTTTCATGAGGGCTGAGATTGAACTGGCCCATGCGTAGAATGCCCTTGTGATTTCCAGGACAGCAGGTTGTAGGAAAGAGAAGACATCTGTTGTCTTTTGGTAGACACCTGGCAAAAACTGATAACCTTATGGTATTATCCCAGGTCTAGGTGTGTCAAACAGCTACATTCACTGTAATGAATGCTTTAAAAATCAAATGTTTTCAAATTCATACATTTCTCCTCTTAAGGAGAATATTCATTGCCTCATTAAAAAAAGAAAACCTCTGCTGCTACTCTCATATATTGAGATTAGGTACTTCTGCTTTGAAGGGACTTTCAAGGCCCTCTCAGCCATTTCAGGCAGAAGTAGAGAATCAGGCTAAACAACAAGAAGCCCTCCAGAGTTTGTCTCATAGGCTGCATAAAAGAAACTGTTTTCCCTTTCATGGTGTCCCAGTGAGCTCTCTAAGCTACTCCATATGGGAGAGTATCTGAACCCCCCTCTACTCAATAAAGAACATTTGCTGTCACCTTAAGTCCCCCTAAGTTAAAATTAGCCTAAAAAAAAGTTAATGTCATAAAAAAGGACATAAATCTAGGTAGAGATTAAAAGC